AAATAATGAGTCTTCATCTTGGAATGTAGCTTAACTGTGTCTCCACAGCCAAAAGACAGTGACCACTTAACCTCGGTTCAGCCTGCCGGCCTGTGATAACACTTGGCCAATTAACTCTCAACTCTATGCGTACAGATGGATCTGTGTGTGTGTGTGTGTGTGTGCGTGTGTGTGTGGTGTGTGTGTAAGAGAAAGAGAGTGAGAATATTAAATAAACAGGTGCTTATATAATGCCTTTCTACTCACTTTTATCCACACTAAAGTACTTTTAGCTGACACACACTCACAATTCAGTCGATGCGTCTCAGGGTTCAGTGCCTTGCTCAAGGATACTTTGATACATGGACAGAAGAAGCCGGGGTTCAATCCACCAACGTCCTGACTGCAGAGAACCAACTCTACCACCTGAGCCCCACCCACCCAGCTCTGTGTGTTTTAAGCATCGTCATTCGCTGCCTTTGTGAAATCAGAAGTGTGTGACGGAAATGCTTGTTGTGTAAAATCATCATTACTCTTTTTGCACGTGACTGCTCCCTTACAATATCCTGTGCTACGTTATTCTAGGATCTCTCTTTTGTCCGTGTTGCTTTGGTGTTTCAATCCTTCCCAGATCTCGACGCCTTGTTAGACATAATATGAGTGAGGGATTTACCGTGAGGCTGTAGGGCCTGCGTGGATATCACTGTGATGCATTGGTCTGGGGAAATCATTCAGTGTAATGTGGAAGAATGTTTGATAAATAGCAAATAAAGAAAAGACGGGAGATGAGAAAAGATGTTAGGGTTCAGACTTTGCTCTAACTTAATTCCACAACTGAAGAAACCAATCTCTTTGCTGTTATAATTTTTCATCTTTTTACAGTGAAATTTAATAAATTCAAAACAGAACCACAGATCTGCAAAACACTGGACCTCTGATACAAAGTACTGAGTATTTAGTAGCTTTATACTGTAGCTTTACTTAAAATGAGTTGTTTAGAAGCTTTTTTTCCCCAAAACAAAAACCACTTGGTCAATCCAAAAGCACTTTATTGCAAATTGAGTATTTTGGCCTGAGTTTCCTCTGCTGCCAGAGAGGATGTAATGGCGCACTTGAAGATGATTCAACAGTTGAGTTACGCACTAACAGTAGCACTTACTGTTTTCATCTGATCCAGCACCAGTGGGAGACATGCACTTTTATGAATTTTAAAGGGATGCATGAGTCACGTCGGGGAGCCGTTCATTATCGAACCTTGTATACAAAGAAAGTGGTGCGCATTGTCGCTTCCAGCAAAACACGTCATATAGGAGGTACGCACTGAGTCATCCGTGTGAAGATGGTCACTTGATTGAAGTGCACCTCTTTGTGAGTGCTGTGGAGCCAAAGGCTAATCCTCGTCTTTCTGATGGTTGACTTTGTTAAAAATTAACCACATTTCATCTTGTTCATTATTCAGTATTCACCCCTGTGTCCACGTTGATTGTTCTTTACATGAAACATGACCTGTGGGGTATGTCTCAGGGTTCAGCCTGACTCAGGCGTTACTGATGGGTTTTGTGATGGTCAGTGCGTTTCCTACTTTTTGACTACTGCTCATGTTTGATTCATGCCCACCACCACCTTAGTCAGCACAATCACTCCTCATCTGTTCAATCCCTCAGCTTCTCGTCCTCATCACTTATTTGCTCTGATAACTTTGGATCTCTGATATTGGCTGTGATATTGTCCACAGTCATGTTAATATTTCGCTCCGCGGTGACTTTCTGAATGGAAGATTCAGGAATTATTATCGACATTCGAATGCACGTCATCGAACATTTCTCATTTAAACGATTTCATTCATTCACCTCTCGAGTGTCTCCGTTGTATAAAAGATCCAAGGTTTGATTCCAGTAGGAGACACAAATCTCTTTGGGGTTGTGTTAAGTAAGGCATCCAGTGTAAAGACTCTGCCAAATCAAACATGGGCAGATACGTGCTGTGCAACCCCTTGTGAATAAGGAAGCAGCTGAAAGTAGCTATATCACTTCTCAAGTCTCTTTGAGCTAACTTGCACAAGAACGTTACTGACTTCCTCTGTGGGTGAGCTTAAATTACAAGTATTGTTGGCAGCCTAGATTTTAAATACTTTCATCCCCATCTGTTTCACTTTCTCATAATTCATGTGCTTCCTATCTGACATCTCCTGTACTTCTTAATTACACCCTCTTTCTGTAGCTTCGATCTCACCAGTTCTTTAAATGTCAGTTTTTTAATATGCCAGCCTTTTCCCCAAAATACCAAAAGTCGCCCCTTTTATTGGAATTTCAGCAGTCCTGAAATTAGTGTATGCATCAGAGGATTTGCAATGTGCCCTCTCAAGCTGAAGTTTTATGGAGTTTTTTTTTTTTATCTATTAAGTAGTTGCATGTGATATTAACTTAAAAAAAAATGTTGTCCACAAAATCCAGTGACTGTCACTCAGACTTGCTTCGAACAAAACTGTGTGAAGATTAAAAGTTAATAAGGATTCCTGTTCCTTTCTTTCATTTTCTCCAGGTAAATATGCAATGAGAGATTTGATCCATCGGTTACCAGGCAGCAGCAGCAGCAACAATAATGCAACCAGCAGTGGGACCTCTGGAACCACAGGCCCTCCCAGCAAGGCCATGTCAGATGACACAGTGACTGCCATCTGTTGCGCACTGCATGAAGTCATCACCAAAAACATGGAAAACGCAAAAGCTCTACGTGATGCCGGTGGCATCGAAAAACTCATTGGCATTGCCCGCAGCAAAGGAGACAAGTGAGTAACTACTAAATTTTAAAAATGAAAATTTACTTCTACCAAAAACCGCTTAGCAGTAAACACCGGTTTATTTTACACTATAAGATCTGCATCATGAAATGCTAAAATACCACATCTTCTACAGCACTTTAGATACACTATTATCTAAAGGACAATATGGGACTTATTGTATAAAATGTCTTTATAAAAACGTCCTTAATCTAAAACCTGAGCACCTGTTTAAATTTCTCTTAGCTGTTTGGGATTAGTTGAACCTGATAAATAGCAAAGATTTCTGAACAGAATACATATAACAATAATAAATAAATAAACTAAAATGATAAATACTTGAATGGAAATGATGTCCTGACATCGGGGGGATAGGTTTAGTTTACAGCATTCTTTAATGTACTGAAGTCCCGTGTAAGAGGCCTGGACATGACATGAAAAAGGCATCCATTTCCCTGAGACGCAAGCACCCTGGGGGAACAACTTCTCTATGAAAAAAAAAACAATGCTGTATTTTTTATTCAACAAATTCAAAAGTTCAGGAGTATAAAATCCTCAGGATGAACTAAGGCCAAAACAACAAACAAACAGAACTAAGCATCAACACAAACTCAGATGACCTGCCTGAAAGTAACAAATGAAAAACAATGGGCTTACCTCTCTAGTTTAGCAAAGCAGGAAAAAACAAATGGCAGCTCACCCCTTCTTACTCCTCTTCTTCTAGACACAGATGTAGCCACTTGAATGACAAAGGAAACAAATGATTCTCTGCAGATGGTGGCCATCTTGGCTCCACACCAGTGTTGGTAAAGTTACTTGAAAAAAGTAATCAGTAACGTAATCAGTAAGTTTTAATCTTTTAACTTTATGCATCAAAGGAGCTTGCAAAGAAAAGCGTCTGGACTTCTTTAAGTTGCTTGAAGACGTTTCACCTCTCATCCGAGAAGCTTCTTCAGTTCTAAGGTCAAATGGTGGAGAGTCCCAGATATAACCTAGTGGGAGTTTCCCCCCAAAGAGGGACAAAAGGACCCCCTGATGATCCTCTACCTAATCACATGAGCCAAGGTGTGAAACTGGGTGTGGGTCCCAATCAGCCAGGGTTTCGGGTGAGCTCATTGTGAAACCTGGCCCCACCTTATCATGCGATTTCCTGAGGTCAGATGGCCCAGGATGTGAGTGGGCGTTAAGGCGTCTGGGGAGGGATCTCAAAACTGGATTATAGATGGCAGACAGTTGGTGTTGTAAACCACCGCCTCTGTTCAAAGATGGTCGCTCACAGTGAAGACACAAAGGATAACTGCTTGCCTTTCCTGGACTGCGCTGTGCACATTGAAGAGAATGGCAACCTCAACATCGAAGTTTACCGGAAGCCCACACACACGGACCAGTACCTCCTCTTTGACTCCCATCACTCTCTGGAACACAAACTTGGAGTAATTAGGACCCTACACCACCGGGCAGAACATGTTCCCTCTAAGCCTGAAGGGAAAAAGAAGGAACACACACATGTAAAGGAAGCACTCAAAACATGCGGTTATCCTAATTGGGCGTTCATAAAGTCAGCAAAGAGGCACAGAAAAGAAGACCAGACACCAGTGAGGGAGGATAAGAAAGACAGACGCAACAACATTGTTATCCCCTATGTAGCCGGTGTATCAGAGAAACTCAGGAGAGTTTTCTCCAAGCACGACATCCCGGTGCATTTCAGACCCAGCAACACACTCAGACAAAAACTTGTTCATCCCAAAGACAAAACGCCAAAACACAGACTTAACAATGTGGTGTATGTACAGTGCAGCGAGGAATGCCCAGACCTCTACATTGGAGAGACCAAACAACCACTTCACAAGCGTATGGCACAACATAGAAGAGCCACCTCCACAGGACAAGACTCAGCAGTCCATCTGCATCTTAAGGATAAAGGACACTCTTTCGAGGATGCCAATGTTCACATTTTGGACAGAGTGTACAGATGGTTTGAAAGAGGAGTGAAAGAAGCCATCTATGTCCACTGTGAGCGACCATCTTTGAACAGAGGCGGTGGTTTACAACACCAACTGTCTGCCATCTATAATCCAGTTTTGAGATCCCTTCCCAGACGCCTTAACACCCACTCACATCCTGGGCCATCTGACCTCAGGAAATCGCATGATAAGGTGGGGCCAGGTTTCACAATGAGCTCACCCGAAACCCTGGCTGATTGGGACCCACACCCAGTTTCACACCTTGGCTCATGTGATTAGGTAGAGGATCATCAGGGGGTCCTTTGTCCCTCTTTGGGGGGATAACTCCCACTAGGTTTATATCTGGGACTCTCTGCATTTTGACCTTAGAACTGAAGAAGCTTCTCGGATGAGAGGTGAAACGTCTTCAAGCAACTTAAACAAGTCCAGTCGCTTTTCTTTGCCAGCTCCTCTGACTGCAATGACCTGGATGACTGAGAACCTTCACAGACTTTATGCATCAAGCAAAAATTTAATTATATGCAACATTCTCTGACTGGAAGAAATTTGTTTAACATTTAAACCTATTTTCTGCACATTCCAGCACATAAAAGAAAATATTTTTTTGTGTTTACACTCACTCGTTCAAATAGATGCAAGTAAAACACAGCAGAAAATAAATAAAATCAAAGACTAGCGGTCCTGTTGCTCTATTTTCACCTGTAAAGCAGGAGTGGGGTAGGCGGAGGTGTGCCCTGGTGCAGGTGTGCCGCACCAGGGCACACCGCGAGTTTCTCTGTGAATTTCCCATTACGTCGTAGCGCACTCGGTGCTTGCTTGGAGTATGCATTACAGTAGTTTTCTTGAAATGGTTTATCACATGGAAGAAAACAATACTGTAAATATTTTTTTCTATAACATGGTACATTGTTTGATTTGTTCTAATGTTAATATTAATATCTAAAATTTGAATACTGTCATCAAAACATGCAAAAGTAAAAGATTTAGATTGCTCTGCATTCATTTTTTTCCTCAGGTTAACACAACTAGATCTTAATAACAAGTAGCTTAAATCCAAGAAGGCCTCAGTATTTTATTGTTACCTGTCACAACATCATTCAGTCATGATTCAATTTAGGTTGTCATTAACAACCAGCGCCTTAATGTAGCTACACATCCATCATTCATACATAACTGCGTCCGCCTTCCCTATCACCCTTCATCTGCAAAAAAGACAGCTGGAGAACAACAAGCAAGATGCAGCCAATATATATTTCCATGGGAGACTGGGCAGGGTGTTCTGCGTAGCTGCTATGGCAACCAGTAGGTCAGGAGTTGCTATGACACCAGAACGTTATCAGACGGAGGTCAAAGGATGATTTATTGTTATGGTAAGGGACTCGGCCTGTTTAGGGAACTGTGCTCAAGGGCACCATTCCCAAGAGGGATGAGGTACTGAAAGAAACCTCCACAAATGCAAATTTCATGGTGAGTGTAGTTATCTGCTAATAGCCAACATATCTTTATTTTCCTGGGGAAGGTAAGCTGAGAATAAATGTTAATTATCAGCAGTACCAATCATACAATTACACACTGGATTGGGAAAATACCCCTTACACTACAACTGTAAGAAGCACTTAATGGCTGTTTATAAACAGAAACAACTCCCAACTATTCCAAAAACGTCGATAAATGCTGGGTTAAAACCAACATGTCAAACAAATAGCAACATGATTTTTGCAGTCCCCAAATTTCATTTTCATTTTCTGAAGATTTGCATGTTGCATCTTGCAGCGACTTTTAATAAACCTGTGCTTTTCCTGCTCTTACATGTCAAAATGTCGGCTGTGTAATCATAATCTAGTAATGATCAAAATCATTTTACGATGCTGTTTAAATACCAGTACTCCCAGCGTTCGCTGAAGACTCTTTGCTGTAAAAAAAACAAAACAAAAAAACCACTGGAATTTAAATATTTTTTTCATGATCTAACATCGAGGTTCTGCAAGCTGTTTCCTGGGAATCACTGTAGTCATGTGTAACTAATGCTAATGCAGTGGTTTACTGGTGATACCATTACTACATTGTTCAGTCGTCCAAACTCTTCTTGCTCTTTTTAGTGTGAAATTGTAAAACTCAGAGTGAAGCTTGTTTTGACAACGATTTTTGTTTTGGACAAATTGAAAATGAACATCCTTCTGCTTCCCGCTGGAGCCATTAGGAGGGCAGGCCTTATGAACTGACTCTGACTAGAGTCATTTGTCATCTGAGTGGCAGAGGTGGGACCATTAGCATGGTAGAGTGGGTCATTTCAAACTCATCTGAAAACTGTTTGCGTGCAATGAAACTTTTTCTCTGTTGAAAAGAGCAATGGCGTTCTTATTCTTAAAGCTTTCACAAGTGCTCCTGGCCTGCACACTTTTTGTGCAGCTGGTAAAAAATAAGGGACAGCATGACTATGATGTGAAGTCAATTTGAAATAATCCTTCTCTCTCTGTCTCTATGCAGACACTCAGCAAAGGTGGTAAAGGCAGCTTCTCAAGTCCTCAGCAGTATGTGGCAGTACAGAGACCTGCGCTCTCTCTACAAGAAGGTAGGTGTCATTGAGAATAAGTACAGGTGCTTTTGTGGTGTGTTCATGATTTACAGAAAAGTAAAGTATACTTTAGATAACCTTATATCCTGTTATCATAGAAGTACAGCAAGTACAGACAAAATAATGTATTTGTGGAGTTAGCTGATTTGACATTGTTCAAGCATACTGTTAATATTTATTTAAAATATTGCAGTGGATGCAATAGGATGCACAAAAAAATGAAATGTGCAAATGTTCACAGTGTTAAGTGTAAGAAACCGTGCAGAGTGCAAGGATTTAAGTCTAGAAGAAATGTGTGTTATTATAGGTGTGCAGGTGTGTATGAGAGAGGAGGGGGACCAGGTGCAGAAAGAAAAAAGTTATTTAGGCAGAGGAGAAACATTTGCATCCATGGTGGGGTGGATCAGCCCTGATCTTTCCCATCTGCCTTGCGGTCCTGAAAGTGTGCAGGTCCCGAAGCGATGACAGATTCCACCTAATTACCTTCTAAGCAGAACGATGCACTGGAGTCTGCCTTTGTCCTTGGTATTGGCAATGTTGTGGTGCCAAAGGAGGTGAAAAATGGTCTTGGACTTATTCTGTAGACATTTTTTTCCAGCAGGTTAAACTGTTGTTGCATGAATTAAATCTGAGAGCGTGACAGGGAGCTGATCTTTAGCTCTTCATAAATCCCTGGGTGGCGATGGTCCCAGGAAGCTGGGGGACAACTGTGGATTCATGCAGAATGATGGGGACAGTTGGGAAGTTCTTGAAATCTGCAACTATGTCCATGATGAGCACTGAGCTCTACACCAGGTCATCTTCAAACTTCACGAGCTTTAGCATTCAGGAGCAGACTGGTGACCCTGCAGTTGTAAAGGTGCAGCTGTGTAGAGCAGAGGGTAGTGATGCATTACCTGCATCCCATTAATCATCTCCCAGCTAGCCAAACAAGGAAACTAGTTATTTTCAATTTAGTCAGTTACATGTGAGTTATGTGAAACAATTTTGTAGCATTAAGCAGGCATGCTTTAAATAAATACAAATGGACCCCAGAATTGGCACAGTGACAACTTATTCTGCTAATTTGTGCCTGACAACAATAAAGAGAATCATTATTATTATCATCATTAATCTTTATTATTTTTCTCATTAGTGCTGTAATATTTCAGTCACCTTCAACCCATCTGCTTTTAATCAAAATGGTAATGTTTAGATTCCCACCCACACATTAATTCTGGTGCTCACATCACTAGTAGAGAGGAAAGAACGCCACCTTAGGAGGAACCTGTGATGATCTGTGTTTTCCCAGCTTCATGTGCTCTGTGGTGTCAGGCACACTCAGCAGGGACAGCTTGTTATGCAGTGGAGCAGGATGATGGTAATTAAAAACTGAGCTGAACTCCACGGACAGGACCCTGGCGTGGATTCACCGGGTGAAGGTGCTGAACAATGAAGTGTAGGGTCACATTGTATTTTAATGGGTTGGTAGTCATCATGTCCCGTGGTCTCTGTTTTTTGTTTTGTTTGTTTGTTTGTTCGGTTTGTTTGTTTGTTTTTTGGGGGGGGAACAATTGTGCAGGCCTTGAAACAGGTTGACACATGAATTGTCTCTAGTAAGGTATAAAGACCTCTTTAAGTTGGATGGAGACATGGAGTCGGGCCCAGCTGCTTTGTGGGGGTTTGTCTCTTGAAGAGTCTGTTAACATCTCTCTCCAGGAAAAGATGTCTCTTTCTCTCCAGGAAAGAGACAAGCATGTGTTAGGGGAGGAGAGGACTGCTGTGTGGTAGGCAGCTGTGGAGAGGCCCACGACCTGTTTTAGTGGGAAAGGTAGAGCTGGTGGGCTAGCGCTGATGGATGGTTTAGAGGGGAACGTGTCAGGCACGTCCCATCATTCAGGTCTTCGGCTGGGTGCAAGCTGTTAGTGGAATGTGAGGCTTTAAGCTTGCAGCTTGTGATCTGTCTCAATTCTTTTCAGACAGAAGCAGAGTTTTGCCGATAATAGCCATTTAACTTCTTGCACAGCTGCACCATCTCAGCCCTCATCCTGAACACTTGTCTTGCAGACATAGAGTGTCGCTCTCCTGTTCTAAGCTTAGCCTGGTCCTATATCCAACCATATATTGCCAATGCTCCCCATAAGTGACCACTGTCAGTCAGCTGTTTGTTTAGTTAATAATTGCAAAAGATTTATTCGTAACAGGGAACAAATTTTAATAAACCCGAACTCTTGATCACTACAGTGAGGAGATCTAGTGGTGTGTGTGTTATGCTTTGGGAAATAGTCTTTTCCAGGATGGTAATACTTATACTTATCCAGGGAGTTTTGGGCCAACATGTTAATGAACATTCCCACGAACTGACACGCAAAAAGTCATTGTGGCTATTTACTTTTTTGTTGACACCGAGGACTGTTAATGTCCTAATGCTGTGAGTTATGTACGTCCAAATTGCTCATAGTTTTAAATTATGAATGACGGGATCGTTATCCAAAAACCATATATTGAAATGTGTTTGTTTGTTTCTCTAATACACTCCCAGAGACTTAAGAAATCAATTCTACGTGACTTCATATTGTTTTGTTTTTCTCTTTGGTTTAATAATCAGTCTAAGTGGAGACTATATTAATTGTGTGCTGGTTGTATTCAGAAGCTTGACTCTGTCAGTGCACCAATGTGACTTACAGATAATGGACTTGCACATGGATAAGATTAAAGGTATTTTGTAGGTAATTGAGCAAAGTAGCTGTCCTTCTAAACAGACTCAAGGTTGCCATATTTATTCAACAATGTTTGTCTTGGTCTTTGCATGTTTGTCTTTAGGAGTGTGACGCTGTAGGTGTCTCTTTATAAATGTAAAGATTTTACGTGTGCATGTATTTGTGTAGCCAAGTGCTGAAGTGTGTGGATCCCTCGGGAAATGTTTTTGCAGAGGAAGTTGGCTCATGATTAGTCAGCTTTTTTGTGGGGTGTTCATATCTGCGTGCGTTAGTCTGTGTGAATTCCCTTTCAGGTAGATACGTCCCAAAAAATGATAGGATTTTCAGCTGGACTCCGACACAACTGAGCAACAGCATTTATACAGAACAAAAGGATATTTTCTGTTAGACTCTAGTCTAGTGTGTTTTTGTTTGTGTTCTTTGAAGCTACACACTCACACACAAACACACACAACATCAATGTCATTTAGATCATCTTGCGCGCTGAATGGTGTTAATGCCGTTAGTGCAGCAGTTAATTTGCAGCTCAAATGAAGAAAAAGGAAAATTTGATTATTGTTGTGTTTGTGTAACTCTTGAAGACACAGAGTTTTGTTTGCGACAAATGCGATTAAAACCCACTATCTCCTTCTCTAGCTTTTTTTGTTTGAAATGGAAAAGTCCAGCACACTCTTGAAACTTGATTAAAAGTAATAACAGATGTTCTGTTCCTTTCACTTGTCAGTAATGAGTGTTGTTGAGTGGATATCTGCCACCAAGGTTATCTGCCATTGAGCACAATAAAGCTTTAGAGGCGTAATCAGCGAGTTTCAGTTCACTGTGAGAAATTTTAAGTTACTCATTCCACGGAGGTGTCCTTGGCTTTGAATGCGTCTTTTTCATCTTTTGCAAAAAGAAAAGAATGAAGCAGATGATGTATTTCAGCTGCTGAAGGCAAATGTATGTTTTCTTCCATTTCATACGTAAATACTTACCTATGTTTATATGGTAAAGGCTTTTTGGGGGTTGGCAGGGTTATTAAAGTGCTGCACATCATTTGCATCAGTAGGAGTTAGATTTTATACAGTCCTGGGTTCAGTTTTTACGCATTAACCACATATATGTTTTACATATGAATATATATGATAAAAATTATTTTACCGGTGGATTAGAACCTGTTAAAAATCTCACCGAATGTGAAAGTCCTGAAATATGCAAACATACATGAATCAGAATCAGAATACTTTATTGATCCCTAGGGGAAATTATTTTTCATTACAGTGCTCCATTATAAACAAACATTAACAAAGACAGACAATACACTAACTAAGAATAGCACAAGATATACATGCAAATATATACATAAAAGTCACTTATTAATAAATAGCTGAAAAAGGAAGAGCATGTGCAAGAAGGGTGTAGCTGTTGCAGTAAACATTGTGTTAGATGGAGGAGCTGTACAGGCAGGAATGATTTCCTGTGTCGTTCAGTGATGCTTTTCGGTACTCTCAGTCTCTCACTGAACGTGCTCCTGTGACTGACCAGCATGTCATGGAGTGGGTGGGAGGTGTTATCCAACATTGTCTTTATCTTGGACAACATCCGCCTCTCCGACACCACCTCCATCCCCACAACATTACTGGCCTTACAGATCAGTTTATCGAGTCTGTTGGCATTTGCGACCCTCAGCCTGCTCCCCCAGCATGCAACAGCATAGAGGATCGCACTGGCCACAACAGAATCATAGAAAAGCCAGAGCATTTTCTGGCAGATGTTGAAGGACCTCAGTCGCCTCAAAAAATAGAGACGACTCTGGCCCTTGCTGTAAAGTGCTGTGGTGTTTGTAGCCCAGTCCAGTTTATTGTCAATGTGTACTCCAAGGTATTTATAGTCCTCCACAACGATAGATACATTGTAGGATACATCATATAAGGTAACAACAGAGTTTGAACAGTTCTAATGAACTTTAAAGCTGAAATTTTGTATGACTAAAAATGTACTAATGGAAGGAAGATATAAAGAAATAAGGTGTAGCTCAAGACTTCTGTACAGTGCTGAATATGACCCAGTATGCAACCCTGCAACTCGCTTCTTTGATTGTTTTGTCATGGACTCCCTTTCCGAGGGTTGGGGTCTTAAGACATCTTGTTGTTGCACAAGTAACTTCAGGACAGGCTGCCCCATGGCATCAGTGTGTTCTTGCTTCATCCTGACAACTGTGTCGCTCTCTTCATTCGTCATCCTCTCAGCCCTCAGTATTACACAGAGCAGTATCCCCATGTGGCCCATTGGAGCCTCATCTGCTTCACACTTCTGTAA